TTGTATAAACGCAAAATCACACTCGTAGCAGTGCAATATGGCTGTATATCGGCACTGGTGGGGGCACTAAGGCTCACCAACGCACGCCTCCCACCAGTGCCGATATAAAGCCATATCGCACTGCTACGAGTGTGATATTGCTCATATATATATATATATATATATGTATATATATATATATATATATATTATTTTATTTTTTTAATATTTTCAGTCACAAACCTTATAACCAACAATAGAACAAAACTTATGATTTCAGTCTACATTAATAATAATTTAATAACAGAAAATCAGGTCAGTTTCCTCAGCAGTAAATAAACGGAGAACTTTGAAGCAAATGTTATTGTAAGGAAAGTAATTAGATGCTATTTTTAAATAAAAAGTCAAAAGTTTTATTGAGATGGATTGTTGGTCATTGGGTGTTAATGACCAGATTGGTTAGCTATACTTAAACAAGTGAAAATGAAGACCTGTTAAGAAAGATTTAAGACCTACAACACAATATTTCAGTAGATTTGAGACTTTTTAAGGCCTAAAATTTAGCTTTTGATATTTATGACTTTTTAAGACTTTTTAAGACTCCGCAGATACCCTGTAACAAGTAGCCCTGGGAAACTCATTCCTGTTCACACCTGGAATTTTAATTCCTCTTAGAGGGAAGGTGTATAGGCAAATGTAGATCTATGGTGGGAAAAAAGTAATTTTCAATTTTCTTGGATTTACTAGATTAATTAGGTTTTGATTAATTAGTTTGAGTGAAACAATAATATTTGTTTTAATCATTTAAATCCAATAACATTTCTTCCAAACTCCAACTATAAATAATGTAATTTAAGCATCCCTCCCTCCAGAATAACAAATATTTCATTTGTTGTGATTGAAAATTTAAAATTGAATCCATTTTGGAATAAGGCTGTAGCATAAAACGTGGGGGGAAATTGAAGTGCTATCAATACTTTCCAGATGCACTGTAGATTCTGAGATTCTGATGTGTATTCAATGGATGCTACGCTATCACATGACGCCACACTAGAAAATTCATAATTGGGAGTGAAGCGACGCACCTGACGTCCATTCACACTTCTCACACTCATACTGTATAGAACATACTTTTGTGATGGTCGTGTAGTAAAATCAAATTCAAACGTAGCACCTACTCCAAGTATTAGGCAACTTCAGACGCAGCCATAGTGCACTGTTGCGTAATTTGTTTATGGTTGTTGTATTACCACTACAGAATTACCTTGACAGCTTAATTCAAGAGTTTTACTAGAACATGGTTTAAAACACTGTATAAATGACCATAGTATTTTTTCATGTGGGATTTCCGATAGATTCTTTTATGATTTAACTTTACTTTAATTGCATGTATTACGAGCAACAACAAACTTTAGTTTTAAAAATGGTCTGATTTTGGTTTTGCTGATTAGATATTATGTTGAGTTTCTGTGTGGAGTTTGCAAGTTCTCCCTGCGTTTGCGTAGGTTTCCCCCACAGTCCAAAGACATGCGGTACAGGTGAATTGGGAAAGCTAAATTGTCCGCAGTGTATGAGTGTGTATGGATGTTTCCCAGAGATGGGTTGCAGCTGGAAGGGCATTCGCTGCGTAAAACATATGCTGGATAAGTTGGTGGTTCCTTCCTCTGTGGCGACCCCATATTAATAAAGGGACTAAGCCGAACAGAAAATGAATGAATACTATGTTAAAGCAGTTTGTACCCATTTTTTGTTTATTTATAGCCATAATAATGCAAAAATAGCAGCAACCCAGAATTCACTTGAGTTCTGGTCCAGAGTTGGTGTAACGCTGTCTGAATGTTTAATGTATGTCTGTGTTTTTTGCAAGGCAGACATAAAAATGAGTAAAGCAGCCCTTTCAAGTCAAATCCTCGAACTCAAGGGAATCGTGACCAAAGGATCGATGAACCAAATTCATGCAGTGCACCAATTTCTGCACTGTGAGCCTCACGCTTTGCGAGCTTTAAGGGTCACAGCGGGTTACCTTCCTAATTGTGGCTCTGTTTGAAGGCGCGATGAAATAGCATTTATAATAAAAAGTGGCTTCCTGCTATGATTAAAAGAAAAGCCGGAGACAGAACAAATGTGTGCGGAATCACTAACTGGCTTTGAGTTGCAGGAATTCCTCATTTGAGCCCGTCCTGTCGTCTCTGGCCCGGCGATAGGAGTCAAGCTTGGTGGTCATTAAGTTCCTCCTGGCGTTCTGTGTGGCTCAGCAGAAGGTGTTTGGAGAGATTAATGAGATCTAAGCTCGGGCTCTGGAGGAACAACAGCAGGAATCTTGTTATGCAGGGAAAGGCTGTGAACGCAACAGTGGGCGAAAACAGCATGAAAAAGCAGAGTGTGGAGAGCGGATACACAACCACCGCTTTGTGCGCGATTTGTGTGAAACATGAGTTGTGGGACGCCGCAGGGTTCAAGCTCCCATTTACAAACACGCTCGGACAATAATAAAGGCACTTTGGGGTTTTATGATTGATATGGAGATGATATGGGGCTTTTGTGGAGGAGGTTAGTTCATAAAAAACAAGTAGTAAATTAAATAGCAAAATCAAAATAGTCAAACTTTAATATTTGGCAGTATTTTACAGTTATTTCCTGTTTTTTTGTTTAGTTTTGGAGAAAGCCTTATTTATTTACTTTTGATTTGGCTGGAATAAAAAATTATAAATAAAAAATAATAATGCAGTATACACTCACAGGCCATTTTATTAGGTACACCTTTCCAGTACCAGGTTAGACCTCTTTTTGCCTTCAGAACTGCCTTAATTCTTCGTGACACAGATTCAACAAGCTACTGAAATTATTCCTCAGAGATTTTTGTTAATATTGAGATAAGAGCATCACGCAGTTGCTGCAGATTTGTCGGCTGCACATCCATGATATGAATCTCCCGTTCCGCCACATCCCAAAGGTGCTCTATTGGATTGAGCTCTGGTGACTGTGGAGGCCACTTGAGTACTGTGAACTCTTTGTCATGTTCAAGAAACCAGTCTGAGATGATTCACGCTTTATGACATGGTGCATTATCCTGCTGGAAGTAGCCATCAGAAGATGAGTACACTGTGGTCATAAAGGGATGGACATGGTCAGCAACAATACTGGCGTTGGCGTTAACTCAATGCTCAATTGGTACTAAAGAGCCCAAAGTGTGCCAAGAAAATATCCCCCACACCAGTACACCACCACCACCAGCCTGAACTGTTGATACAAGGCAGAATGGATTCATGCTTTCATGTTGTTGAGACCAAATTCTGACCCTACCATTCGAATGTCGCAGCAGAAATAGAACTCATCAGAGCCGGCAACGTTTCTCCAATCTTCTATTGTCCAATTTTGCTGAGCCTGTGTAAATTGTAGCCTCAGTTTCCTGTTCTTAGCTGACAGGAGTGGCACCCGTTGTGGTCTTCTGCTACTGTAGCCTATCTGCCTCAAGGTTGGATGTGTTGTGTGTTCAGAGATGCTCTTCTGCAGACCTCGGTTGTAACGAGTGGTTACTTGAGCTTCTGTTGCCTTTCTGTCAGTTGGAGCCAGTCTGGCCATTCTCCTCTGACATCAACAAGGCATTTGCGCCCATTAAACTGCCACTCACTAGATATTTTCTCTGTTTCGGACCATTCTCTGTAAACCCTAGAGATGGTTGTGCGTGAAAATCCCAGTAGATCAGCAGTTTCTGAATTACTCAGACCAGCCCGTCTGGCACTAAAAACCATGCCACGTTCAAAGTCACTTAAATCACCTTTCTTCCACATTAATGCTCAGTTTGAACTGCAACAACAGATCGTCTTGACCATGTCTACATGCCTAAATGCATTGAGTTGCTGCAATGTGACTGGTTGATTAGAAATTGCGTTAACGAGCAGTTGGAGAGGTGTACCTAATAAAGTGGCCGGTAAGTATATATATATATATATATATATATATATATATATATACACACATATATATATATATATATATATATATATATATATATATAATTTCATTTTAAGTCTTGTTATATATAACTATAAAGTCTTGTTTTAGGGTTTTAGTTAACTATAATTAACCTAGATATCTTCCTGAGAGTGTTTGAGGTCCACATATATCTTCTGTTCAGTTGAATCACATTATTGAACACACACACACACACACACACATGTTGGATATGAGTAATATTATCTGATTAGCAGTCGAGGGTTCAGAGGAATATCGGGTCAACACATAATTGGGTCAACACTCAATAAGCGAATAAGACATTCGCCTGGTGGCTTTACTAGCATCTAATGATGACATGAAGCTTGTTGATCAGGGTCAGGAAAGTTTCATCGTTGGTTAAAAAGTCAACAAGAAATAGAAGTTGTGATGGGACAGTCTTAAAGGGACAGTTCACCCCCAAAAATGGAAAATTTACTCGCTCTCATGTGATTCCAAAGAGTTTCTTTTTCTGCTGAACAACAAAGGAAGAGGGCGGCATGGTGGCGTAGTGATTAGCACTGTCGCCTCACAGCAAGAAGGTTGCAGGTTTGAGTGCGAGCTGGGTCAGTTGGCATTTCTGTGTGGAGTTTGCATGTCCTCCCCGTGTTGGTGTGGGTTTCCTCCTGGTGCTCTGGTTTCCCCAACAGTCCAAAGACAAGCTGTACAAACTAAATGGGCTGTAGTGTATGAGTGTGTGTGTGTGAATATAAGAGCATATGGGTGTTTCCCAGTATTGGGTTGCGGCCAGAAGGGCATCCACTGTGTAAAACATTGTCATGGTTTATGGGTCTGTTTGTTCTTCCTGTAAGTTATGATGTATGTGTTGTGGCGTGTGGCGTGGTCAGTGTGTCTGTTTACCTTTTAATGGTAGCGTGCGTTCTGATCAGCTGACCTAATCAGAGTCCCAGCTGATGCCTGTTTTGCAGGCTATATAACAGTCTGTGTTTCACTGCTGGTTATCAGTCCGTTGTTGTTGGTTTTCATGTTCCTGTCTGAGTAATGCCCAGGTTTTCTCTCTAGCCTAGACCGTCGGATGACGTCTTCATTTGGATCTGTTCTGGACATTCTGTCTCTTTTTGAGCACGTTATGATATTCAGTTGTACTTCATTAAACGTCTTCACTCACAGTAGGATTCTTACGTGACAAACATATGCTGGAATAGTTGGTGGTTCATTCCGCTGTGGCGATCCCTAATAAATGAAAATGAACGATCAAAGGAAGATATTTTGAAGAAAGCTGAAAACTAAATGGGGCGAGGCAGTGGCGCAGTAGGTAGTGCTGTCGCCTCACTGCAAGAAGGTCGCTGGTTAGAACCTCGGCTCAGTTGCCGTTTCTGTGTGGAGTTTGCATGTTCTCCCTGCCTTCGCGTGGGTTTCCTCCGGGTGTTTCGGTTTCCCCCACAGTCCAAAGACATGCGGTACAGGTGAATTGGGTAAGCTAAATTGTCCTTAGTGTATGACTGTAGTGTAAGGTTGCGGCTGGAAGGGCATCCGCTGCGTTAAAACTTGCTGGATAAGTTGGCGGTTCATTCCTCTGTGGTGACACCGGATTAATAAAGGGACTAAGCCGACAAGAAAATGAATGAATGAATGAAAACTAAATTACAGCCAAAGACAAACCCTAGAAAACAAAAAACAAATACTATGGAAGACAATGGTTACAGTTTTCCAACATGTTTCAAATGATCTTCTTTTGTGTTTAACAGAAGAATGAAACTAATAAAGGTTTACAAACAAATACAGGCTGGGTAAATGATGACAGAACTTTCATTTTTGGGTGAACTATCCCTTTAATACTACTATTAATAATAATAATAATGTTATTGCAAGTCTTTTGATTGCACTCTGTTGGAAGAATATAGAAAGTCCATCCACTGACCACTGGTTGAAAGATTTGTCGTATTACATTGCACTGGAAAGAATTACCCACATTATAAGGGGCAAACTGAAGGACTACCATAAAATATGGGTACAAACAGTGTAAATTCATGTTAAATTTCAGTCTTTGTTACATTAAAATATTTTTTACATCTTTTTGTCTCCAGGTTCATCGCCGTCTCCATCCCTCTAAATTACAACCGCAAACACGTGGACCAGCGACAGATTGTCCTGCTCTCCGCCACGTGGATCCTGGCCTTAGCCGTGGCCTCCCCCGTGATGTTCGGCATCAACAACGTCCCCAACCGGGACCACAGCGAATGCAAGCTGGAGGACAACAACTACGTTATCTACTCCTCCGTCTGTTCGTTTTTCGTGCCGTGCCCCATCATGCTGCTCCTGTACTGCGGAATGTTCCGGGGCCTGAGGAACTGGGAAGAGGCTCGGAAAGCTAAATTAAGGAGCAACATGGAGGCCTGCCGAAAGCTTCAGGAGGCCGCAGCGTCGCTCCAGCCGCTGTCTGGCCTGCCGCCGCCGCTCCCGCCTGTTATAGAGAAAGACATTACATTGGAGGAGCTGGACCAAGATCACTATCCCGATCCCGACAGTCCTGATCCTGTGTCCATGTTGGCGTATCCTGGAGGAGGCTACAATCAGGATCAAAACCAGAACCGGCAACGGAAGCGGGCCAAGATCAACGGCAGAGAGAGGAAAGCCATGAGGGTGCTTCCGGTTGTAGTAGGTGCGCTGGTTGGTTGTGGGTTTATAATCAGATACAGGTGAAGGGAAAACTCTTTGCTCTCCTCCATTTTTTTTTTTTGACATTTTTAAAAAAATTTTTGTCTTTGACATCATGATATTTTACCAGTGATTTACTAGTATTCAGCGTAAAGGTGCTGTATGTAGGATTTTGACTCTTCTAAAGCATAAAAATACCATAATATGTTTGCGGATATTTAGCACACATGCTACGTGAACATTCTTGTTTATCTGAAAAGCAATGCTGAAGCCAGATATTATTGAAAATGTGCATTACTGCAAGAATGGCTGCGTCTGTTTTGGTTTTGGCCTTTTAACCTGCCCAATACCAATTTAGCCAATCATATTTCAGCACCCCGGGTTGCCTTGTTTAAAAAACGCGTATTTCATTCATTCGGTCAGCAAGGCTCTCAAAGCATGAGTCTATAGCCCCTTTCACACAGTGATACCGGTAAATATCTGGAAAATTTCCGGAACGACTTTACCGGGTTATTCAAAAAAGCGCTGTTCACACAGGCGAGGACGTTACGGAAATTTTCCGGAAAAGAGCATTCACACATCCATTCCAAAATACCGGTAAATTCTGACATGATTCACCACAAATGAGCTTTAAACGGCTGCGCTTGTATTTGTAAACATTTGACTAAATTACAAACTCTGTGGATGATCAATAATGTGAACAACTTTCGCAGGATCACTTTCGCATGTCGAGATGTTCATAATATGTGGGTGTGCAGGCGCTCACAGGCTGTTTCACAGGAACACGCAAAGCTTGAAGGTAAACAAACAACGGCTTATCATAAGCATCTCATCGATGATTATTTACACAGTTGGCATTAAGTAGAACATATAAACGTGATCTGACTAACTTCTAGCAGCTAAATGTGTCTGGAAAAATATTCAAAGGTTTTTATTCTCATAAACCGCGCGGACGTAAATGCGTCTGACTGTTGTGATTGGCTAAAGCAGACGTCTCACGTCAGCACGTTCTAGACGTGGACGCGCTTATTACGGCAATCTTCCTTCTGCATTCACACAGCGCAGCATTCCGGCAAATTGCCGGTAATGTTACAACTTCTCTTTCCGGAAAATAGCCAGAACGAATTTACCGGTATTTTCAAAAAGGACCTGTTCACACATACAACCTTTCCGGAAAATTGCCGGCAATTTTCCGGAAAGGTCTGTATGTGTGAAAGGGGCTTATGATCAAAGTGAGACCTAGCAGACAGTAGCAGACTCCGAAATGAGACGCTGATTCAGAGTTTCACATTAATGAGCAGTTATTTGCTTAATTGGGGGGGGGGGGGTGATATCGATCACTAACTGAAGAGGGGAGGTTGTGGGAAGCGATCACAAACTGCAGAACGGGGGAGATGGGGTTGGTTGGGAGATGCGATCACAAACTAAAGAACAGGGGGAGGCAAAGCAATTACAAACAGAAGAGCAGGGTGAGGAAAAGCGATCACAAACTGAAGAGCGGGGGGAGGCAAAGCATCACAAATTGATGACCGGGGGGAGGCTAAGCTATTACAAACTGAAGAGCGGGTGGAGGAACAGCTATGACAAAGTGTAGAGCTGGGGAGACGGGGTTGGTTGGGGGAAGCAATCACAAACTAAAAAAGGGGGGGGGGGGGGGGGTTATGGCGGTGAGTAACAGACATTAAGTTAATTAGGTTAACTAGGTAAGTTTGGTTAATTAGGAAGTTAATTGGACAACAGTGGTTTATTCTGACTTCTGCAGGGCTGTTCAGGTTGAGCTGAAATAGGTAAAAAATTATGTGCAAAAATGTTGGAAATTAGGAAGAAAAGAATTTAGACCAGTTAGAGCCGACACCATAGAACTAGCACATACAAAATTCAACTGTGATGTGACTTGTCGTGTCCCGGCCTAAAATTAAGTCACCTGAAAGTTAACGGATGTGGCGTCACATACACTATCTTTCATTTTCGGTAACTAAAACTGACGATCATATAGATGAAAGTTAATTAATCTTTAATCATTTTGGACTATCTTCTGTAGCATGTGACGAGTTATAGAACTGAAAATTATATCAAATAAATAAATAAATGGCTGTCTTAGATGTTAAATTTAAGTTATTTTCATTCATTCATTCATTTTCCTTCGGTTTAGTCCCTTATTTATCAGGAGTCGCCACAGTGGAATGAACCGCCAACTATTCCAGGATATGTTTTACACAGCGGATACCCTTCCAGCCGCAATCCAGTACACTCATTCACACACACTATCATACTATGTTCAATTTAGATTAGAATTTTCAATTCACCTACTGTTAGGGCTGCTCGATAATGGGAAAAATCATAATCACGATTATTTTGGTCATAATTGTATTGATTAATGCAATGATTAATGTTGATTAATGATTAATGTTGATGAACGAAAACAGTCTGCAGCAGGATTATTGGGCGCTGTGACTTTAAGAGCGGTACGGTTCTGTTTATGGTTTCTCTTTCACAAGTCTTTTGATTCTCAACTTGACCGTTATATCGCTCACATTAAAATGACTTCAGATGTGTGTGCTCTGCTCGTCTCTGAGGCTGAGCGCGCGCACACACAACAGCGTGCGATCTCATTCGCGCTTTTAAATTCATGAATGATTTGAACGTACGTCAATGAATGATGCGCATCCTGTGCTGCAAACATTACACTACAGCACATGCTTTCAGTCATTTTCACGTGAAACTGAGCTTTGCAGAGCAACAAATGTGTACAACTGGAAAGGGGGCGGTGTATGATGCAATAATCATTTATCTTGATTAATGCTTTTTTATAATCGTTAGACGACAAAATCGAAATCAAAACCGAATTTTCAATTAATTGCACAGCACTACCAACTGTATAGTGCATGTGTTTGGACTGTGGGGGAAACCGGAGCACCCGGAGGAAACATGCTCCACACAGAAATCACCCAGCCAGGGCTCAAACCAGCGAACCTCTTGCTGTAAGGCAATAGTGCTAACCACTGAGCCACCGTGCGGTCATGTTGACTACTCATATTTTATTATAGTATTTTATACATTTTTTTATATTTTAAATTTAGAAGAAATGCCATCGTTAACACTTAATCCAGGTACGTTTTTCAAGTCCTCTTTTCATTTATCCCACATTTATGTACACTAAGGCCTTGGATTTATTAATAGTAGCTTTGATTTATCCATAAAAACACCTCTGCTTTCTGTTCATGTCTGTCTGGAGGTTTTCTGAGTGAAAAAACAAAGTGAAAAAAGCCTCTCGCTCCTAACCTGGGCTTAGAGGAGTGATTACAAACAGTTCCTACGTGTGCTGAAACGAGGAACTCCTTTGGCCCTCATTGGCTAATCATCGCTCACCAATCCTCCAATCGGATTATGACGTAAGCCTCAGTTGAGTCGAGGGCAGCGTCACGTTAAGACGAGCTCTGATCCTCTTCACGGCTTCTTGTGAGACGTGTCACAGACGTGCTTGTACTTTGCTAACCACACGTCAATCCCTTTCAGCCCATGTCAGCTTGAGGACAGACCAGAAAGAGGGTGAGAGAGAGAGAAAGAGAGATAAAGGTCAGGATTCCCACAATGCATGTGGCTAATCGTGTTTTTAAAGGGATAGTTCACATCATTGAATATTTAATTATTAGCCCTCTTGTGATTCTTTTTCAAATATTTCCCAAATGATGTTTAACAAGGCAAGGATTTTTTTCACAGTATTTCCTATAATATTTTTTTAGTCTGGAGAAAGTCTGATTTGTTTTATTTCAGCTAGAATAAAAGCAGTTTTTAGTTAAAAAAAAAATTATAATAAATAAAAAAAAATATTTTAAGGTCAACATTATTAACCATTTTAAACAATAATTTTTTCCTATTGTCTCCAGAATTGCCTAATTAACCTAATTTGCCTAATTAACCTAGTTAAGCAGGCCCGTAGCCAGCCTTTTTACTCAAAAAGTAGACCTTTTTGCAGTTATTTGCCTCATTTTCTATTTAATTATTGCATTTTAGTGACATTTTAAGCATTATTTCTAGCTGAATTAGCTTGTCGGATGGTCACAGTAACCACACTTTTTAATGTACCAAAATATTTTTTCCAAATATTTAGAATAAAGAAATTTGAAAGCAATACTTAATTTTAAAATACAAATTTATAACATTATATATCACTCGAAAATAAGAGGAGACTGTTTAAGTATTAAACTATAAACTGTAGCCTATTGTCATTTATTAGGCAAATAAACTGGCCAGCAGATTCAACTTTCCTCAGTCAGAATTTGGGATGCCAAATTCAGCGTTCCAAATTCTGTACCGACAGCCAACATAGGATTTTGCTTGGTCTTAAAGCCTTCTTCGATGAGTTATTTTCACAATTTATTATGGAATAACAGTCAAAATAGGACAAATGAGCTCATGTATGGGTCAAATTCCGGACCTTTGTCAGTGAGGGGTGGTCTTCCGAACCACCCGAACCACCACCCCTGGCTATGGGCCTGAAATGTCGCTTTAAGCTGAATACTATTCATTCATTCATTTTCTTTCAAAATATCATTATTTTTTAAATGTCCACTATAGTGGACACCAGGACCATCTTAATGTAACTAATGACTGCATGTTGTAGAGGGCAGAACTGAAGCAGAGAGGATTCTTTATAAGTTAGTTGAGGGAGACTCTGATTTAAAGTCTGACAATCAGACAATTAGAGAATGAAAATCAGTTTTAAATCGCTTTTATGTTAAATATGTTTTGGATTAGCATCACAGTTTTTTCTTCTTTTTTTGTGAGTTCGGCTCTCTTTCAGACTAAACTGTTTTAGGAATGTCAATACAAAAGGAAAAAAATGGCTTTTGTTTGTTTGTTTGTTTGTTTTTTTGTAAAATTTAAAATAAAAACAAAATGTAAAAACTATAAATTGTAGGATTTTTTTAACCCAAAAGATGTAGGAAATCACAGAAAAAAAAAAAAAAAATTCTTTGGGTCTCAGGAGGATATACAGCATATCTTAGACTTGCAAGTTATATATGCACAATCAAGGGTGACACAGTGGTTAACACTGTTGCCGCACAGCAAGAAGGTCGCTGGTTCAAGTCCCAGCTGGGTCAGTTGGCATTTCTGTGTGGAGTTTGCATGTTCTCCTCGTGTTGGCGTGGGTTTCCTCCGGGTGCTCCGGTTTCCCCCACAGTGCAAACACATGCGCTATAGGTGAATCGAATAAACTAAAATTGTCTGTATGTGAAGTGTATGTCTGTGAATGAGTGTGTACGGGTGTTTCCTAGAACTGGATTGTGGCTGGAAGGGCATCCGCTGTGTAAAACATATGCTGGATAAGTTGGCGGTTCATTCCGCTGTGGCGACCTCTGACATTAAGACTAAGCCGAAGGAGAATCAATGACTGACTTTACTTATACAGCATATCCCAGGTTGCAATTGCAAGTTATATATTCGTGTATTCTTGCAATTCTCTCCTTTTTACCTAGAATATTTTTATCTAGAGAGTTATGATATATAATCTTGCAGGAAACTAAATGTAATTACTTTTTTATTCCACAGAGGTAATAAACTTCCATACATTTACGCTTCGCCACATTGAACATCTCCTCGCCCCGTCCTCTTCGCTTTCCAGACTTTTACATTTTTGGAGGCAGTGAGTCGTTTCACTAAACTAAATTTGTCGACTGAGCAGGCATCAGCATCATCTCAGCAGATCAGAGATATCAAATATTCGATTCACATCTCTTCTGAGAGGATGCAGACAGACGTGCTGTTATCAGAGGCATATGAAATATGACCTGGCAACCTATCTGTCCTGCTCCTGCTGGCTATCACAGATCTGTCATCAGTCAGAAGTGAGAGGAACGGAGAGAAAGATGGCTGAAAGTCACTGAAAAGGATAACTTTAGAATTATAGTGGGGTGGCTCAGTGATTAGCACCTTCGCCTCACTGCAAGAAGGTCACTGATTCGAGTCCCAGCTGGGTCAGTTGGCATTTCTGTGTGGAGTTTGCATGTTCTCCCCGTTATGGTGTGGGTTTCCTCCGTGTGCTCCGGTTTCCCCCACAGTGCAAACACATGCGCTGTAGGGAAATTAGATGAACTAAATGCCCGTAGTGTATGAGTGTGTGAATATGAGTGTGTATGGGTGTTTCCCAGTACTGGGTTGCAGCTTAAACAGCATCCGCTGCGTTATGCTGGAATAGTTGGCGGTTCATTCTGATGTGGCGACCCCTAAAAAATAAGGAACTACGCCAAAGGAAAAGGATTGAATGAATGGTAGAGACAAACCTTTAGACTTAAGGCTTGTTCATAAATAACCATAACTATATTTGCGCACATACAAACGGACAACAGCATTTTAACATTCATTATTTAGACGGCAAACCACTAATACTGTTCCTTTGTCTCAATATTATCATAGTTGCAGACTTTCCTATACACTAGAACTGTATAGTTACCATGTTTGGTGTGAACAGACGTCACAATGGCTTCATTCCAGTGTTAAAGTATTGGTTTCCTCCAGGTGCTCCGGTTTCCCCCACAGTCCAAACACATGCACTATAGGGGAATTGGATAAGCTAAATTGGCCATTTTGTATGTGTGTGGGAATATGAGAGTGTATGGGTGTTTACCAGTGCTGGGTTGCAGCTAGAAGGGCATCCTCTGTGTTAAACACATGTGTCAATTACAAGGCCCGCGGGCCAAATGCGGCCCGTCAAAACATTTAATCAGGCCCGACAACAAGGTTTGGTAATAAAGTTCAAGTGGCCCGCGCTCGCTTTAAATATAAGGTCTGTGACAATTACAATATTAAGACACGGGAGGTGCTGTCGAGCTTCAACCTACTCGCTTCAACGTCTATGTTTGAAAGCACATACTCATGTGAACAAATGTTCTCTATAATGAAGCTGACCAAAACATCAGACAGATCCCGCCTCACAGACCACCAGATTATGTCTGTAATAAAAGTAGCCATGGCAAGGGACATTACACCTAGAGTAGATGAGATTGTTTCTATGAAAAAATGCAGAGTGTCTGGTAAGAATTAAAAAATCCCATTTTTTTTTTAGGTTTGGCATATAAGCTCAGTGCAAGTGTCCTTTAGAGCAAAATAATCTAAATAATACAATTTCTTACCATTGATTTTTTTACACAGGCCACCATTTATCTACAATAGCCTACTAATAAATATATTGCTTTATTATTTTCCCCTCTGAAATCCACAAGTTCAGTTGTAGGCATCAGCAGTGGGCATGAATCATTTCATGATTAGGTTGCCTTTTTAAGGCTAAAAGAATCAGTTCAATAATATCAGTTGCCATCAGTTGCTTGTGGTATATCAGTTGTTGGCTTTTTGTTTTATCATCAGTTTTTCTGAATATGAAATTGTTTTTAAAGTAGACTGTTCTATGCTAGCCGACTGTACTGTTTTATGCTGCATTATGTTTTGATAGAGATAAAACATGCTGTGACACAAATACAGTCCAAATTAAATTTAAATATAAAACCTTACTATTTTAATAAATGTGGTTTAATGAAGGTTTATAAAGATGTTAGAGTTGTTCATACACTTTTATTTTCTCCAATAAATACATTTTAAAAATGTGTATGTACGGCCCCTGACTTTATTCACAACACTCAGTTCGGCCCTTACCAAGTTTGGATTTGACACCCCTGGTGTAAAACATTTGACGGAATAGTTGTCGATTCATTCTGCTGTGGTGACGCCTGATAAATAATGTACTAAAGCGAAGGCAAATGAATGAATAATACTAACACCAACTACAATTTACCTCATGACTTTACAGTGGACAAGGGTAAAGTGAGAACACTTCAATGCAACCAATATCCTTTTGGAAACTGATTCAACCAAATAAAATAAATGATAATCAATAGCAAAACCAATAAGAAACATGTATATTTACAATACAATAAACATTCTCAGTCTGTATATCAATCTGTTGAATCTTTAAAAAAAAAATAAGAACTGCTTTTATTCTTTAAGTCTTTAAGACTTTCTCCAGAAGAAAAAATATTATCGGAAATACTGTGAAAAATTCCTTGCTCTGTTGAATGCAAAAAACACTCTCAGTCTGTACCTTCATATCAATCTGTTGAATCTTACCTGATATTCTTTCGTCTCCAGGTGCCTTCCTGTTCTGCTGGACACCATTCTTCGTAGTGCACACTATGAGGGCTCTCTGCGAAGACTGCGAAATTCCTGGCAGCGTCACCAGTATCGTGACCTGGTTGGGTTATGTCAACAGCGCCATCAACCCAATCATCTACACCGTCTTTAACACGGAGTTCAGGAAGTTCTTTCGGAAGTTTCTGCCGACGCTGCCTGGCTGCTGCTAGCCTGAGCATGCTAAAAGGGTTTACGAACAAAACATACCCAAAAAATGTGTAAATAAACAAGAACTAAAAACGTTTGCGTGTAAATACAGCATGTTGTGAGATAATAATGCACTAAGATGTTTGCTGCCATTACGTGTTTACTGTGTGTTTTAATTTTGTATGTTTACATTTCAAGAGCTGACATCAAAGGGCCTTATTTAAGAAACACAAGCAGAGTGAAATGCGTAAATCACGCGTGAATTCATGAAATGATTGTATTGTAAAAGGCGCGTTCACAATGTATTTTGCTGTTCACTTATCCAACAATGGTGTTTTTATGGTTTGCAAATGCAAAATTTTGAAAACAATTGTTATTGTCGCTACAAAAATGTGAGTTTTGGAAAACTTTCACTACATGCAGTGACATCGCCATCTACTGGTATACCATACAAAATACAATGTGTTTGTCTGCAAATTTTTGAAAAACAATTGTGTTATCGGCGCCACAAAAACTTGATTTTGTGAAAAAAGTCACTACATGCATAGTGACATCGCCACCTACTGGTATAGCATACAAAGTACAATGTTTTTGTAGGCAAATTTTTGAAAACAATTGTGTTATTGGCATCACAAAAACTTGATTTTGTGAAAAATGTCACTACATGCATAGTGACATCGCCACCTACTGGTATAGCATACAAAATACGTTTTTGTCGGCAAATTTTTGAAAACAATTGTGTTATCGGCGCCACAAAAACTTGATTTTGTGAAAAAAGTCACTACATGCATAGTGACATCGCCACCTACTGGTATAGCATACAAAGTACAATATTTTTGTATGCAAATTTTTGAAAACAATTGTGGTATTGGCGCCACAAGAACTAGATTCTGTGAAAAATGTCACTACATGCACAGTTACATCACCATCTACTGGTATAGCATGCAAAATACAGTGCTTTTGTCGGCAAATTTTTTGAAAACAATTGTGTTTTCTGCACCGCAAAAACTTAATTTTGTGAAAAATGTCATTGCATTTACAGTGATACACCATCTTCTGGTATAGCATGCAAAATACAATGTTTTTGTGTGCAAATTTTGGAAAACAATTGTGTTATCGGCGCCACAAAAACTAGATCTTGTGAAAATTTTCTCTACGTGCACAGTGACGTCGCCATCTACTGGTATAGCATGCAAAATACAGTGCTTTTGTATGCAATTTTTTGAGAACAACTGTGTTATCGGCACCACAATAACTTGATTTTGTGAAAACTTTCTCCACGTGCACAGTGACATCGCCATCTACTGGTATTGCTTCCAAAATTTTTAAAAACATTTGCGGTATTGGCGCCACAAAAAATAGATTCTGTAAAAAAAAAAAAAAAAGTCAATACGTGCAGTGACATCGCCATCTACTGATAAAGCAAACAAAATACAATGTGTTTGTCGGCAATTTTTTGAAAACAATTGTGTTATCGGCACCGCAAAAACTTGATTTTGTGAAAAATGTCACTACATGCATAGTGACATCGCCATCTACTGGTATAGCATACAAAATACAATGTTTTTGCAGGCAAATGTTTTTAAAACAATTGTGTAATCAGTACCGCAAAAACTTGATTTTCTGATAAAATCTACTACATACACAATGTGACGTCGCCATCTACAAAATACAAATGCAAATTTTTGAAAATGTTAAAACGTGTCTTTGAACTCTTTAATTGTCATATTTCCAAACGTGTAAATGCGAACTGTTGCATTGTATTTATTTACGACATAAAGCCACGATCGCACTGCACTTTTCGCCCCATAGACTTCCATTCCAACGCATGCGAATGTGGCAGACTGGAAATTCAAGCTCGTGCGACAAGTTTACGAGCCGTTGTGTTGCAAAGTTCAAGCTTGATGAAATCTGACCTCCAGAATCGCATCATGTGACTGCGTGAGACCAAGCGAAGATCAAAACATGACCTCTCAGTACAGAAATTTAAAACATAGACCAATCTTTAATGTCTTTAAACTTGTTTAATGTCTAATTATCTTGTTTAATCCCGCCCTTTTTCGCAACACTGTAAGACAGAATTTCGCATGCACAAACTCTAATGTGACCGCAGCTTAGCATAACATCCGTGTAAAGCTAGCATTGTATAATTCGCAATCATAAACTACAAGTATGATATTCCCATTCATCAAATAGAACTATTTAAAATTAGTTTTACGAACAATTTACACATTTTGTTCCTCTAGTGTTTATTGGATAAGGCCCGGTTTATGCTTTGAAGCTTAATGACAGGAATGTCTGTGGAACGTCTGCCATCTACGATGATTTCTCTTTGCTATTACTGCTTAACGTAATACGTGAACGAGCTCATCCGGTGACCCATAAGCCTATGAACAGTCAATGTTAGTGCGTTCATTTTGTATTTGATTGCACTGACCTTCATCTGAGAAATAAATGTTTTTTTCACAGACCACAACTACTTTGTGAAGACGTGCAGAGATTCAATGTTCAATAGAGTCAATGTCTTTTAATACAAATATGTGTAGAATTTTGTTTTTCACTTTTATTGGGGAAAATGCCTAAATCTAATGAGATTGTGGACGAGAGTTTTAATGGAGGAGACACAGATAAATTACAATAGACAAAAAGTTATACATTTTTGTACATTCAACATGGTGTGAACTACTACATAAATGCCACCTAGTAAAAAGTCCATTGTCAAGGCTAGTTTTTGATCATACACTCACAAGCTCACAGGGAAGAGTCATGTATGGTTCGGTCATGTATGTTGGCTTTTATGCCATGTGATTAATTATTCACAAAACCTTTCTTAACTTTATTAATGATTATTTTAGGTTACAGGTGGTATTTTTAAGAAATTGGATGCAATTAAAGTACAGATATTTGTAAAACACACAGCGCCATCTACTGTTAAAAACTAGCCTAGAGCACTATCTGCTGTTTAAAACTAGCCTAGAGCGCCATCTGCTGTTAAAAACTAGCCAAGAGCGCCATCTGCTGATAAAAGCTAGCCAAGAGCACTTTCTGCTGATAAAAACTAGTCTAGAGCACCATCTACTATTAAAAACTAGTCTAGAGCACCATCTGCTATTAAAAACTAGCCTAGAGCACAGTCTGCTATTAAAAACTAGCCTAGAGCACAGTCTGCTATTAAAAACTAGCCTAGAGCACAGTCTGCTATTAAAAACTAGCCTAGAGCACAGTCTGCTAATAAAAACTAGCCTAGAGCACAGTCTGCAAATAAAAACTAGCATAGAGCTCTATCTATTGTTAAAAACTAGCATAGAGCTCCATCTACAGTTAAAAACTAGCCTAGAGCTCCATCTACAGTTAAAAACTAGCCTAGAGCACTGTCTGCTGTTAAAAACTGGCCTAGAGCACAGTCTGCTGATAAAAACTAGCCTAGAGCGCCATCTGCTGTTAAAAACTAGCCTAGAGCACAGTCTGCTGATAAAAAATAGCCTAGAGCGCCATCTACTGTTAAAAATTAGCCTAGAGCACCATCTGCTATTAAAAACTAGCCTAGAGCACCATCTGCTGTTAAAAACTAGCCTAGAGCACAGTCTGCTAAAGAAAAACTAGCCTAGAGCGCCATCTACTGTTAAAAACTAGCCTAGAGCACCATCTGCTATTAAAATTTAGCCTAGAGCACAGTCTGCTGTTAAAAACTGGCTTAGAGTTTTGCTGATAAAAACTAGCATAGAGCTCCATCTACTGTTAAAAACTAGCCTAGAGCACTGTCTGCTGTTAAAAACTGGCCTAGAGCACAGTCTGCTGATAAAAACTAGCCTAGAGCGCCATCTGCTGTTAAAAACTAACCTAGAGCACAGTCTGCTGATAAAAAATAGCCTAGAGCGCCATCTACTGTTAAAAATTAGCCTAGAGCACCATCTGCTATTAAAAACTAGCCTAGAGCACAGTCTGCTGTTAAAAACTGGCCTAGAGCACAGTCTGCTGATAAAAACTAGCATAGAGCTCCATCTACTGTTAAAAACTAGCCTAGAGCACTGTCTGCTGTTAAAAACTGGCCTAGAGCATCATCTGCTGTTAAAAACTAGCCTAGAGCACAGTCTGCTGATATCCCTTCCAGCCATCTCTGGGAAAATAAGTAAAGTTTATTTATAATTAATTTGAAGATGATCACGTGCTTATGATTTTTTGCAGCTGATCCACCATTACATCATTACTCCTGTATGATTCACCAATCGGGCAATCCCTAAGCCACTATAAATACCCTGAGTTCCATTTAACAGCCATCTTCGTTTTGAAGAATCCCCCTTCTACCCCTACTCCTCCTCCTTTCCTAGATGGGTGGCACAGCGGCCCAGTGGTTAGCACTGCTGCCTCACAGCAAAAACGTCACTGGTTCTAGTCCTTACCAAGTTCTTCCTGTGCTCACGTGGATTTCCCCTGTTTCCCGATTTCCTCCCACCGTCCAAAAACATGCAACTTAAGGTAATCAACTAATCCAAATCGGCACCATAGACATGCTCCTTGTAAGTAGTTATCGCTTAAAAGCAATCACTATCTGTTCACTAGCTACTACAGCAAGGGAGTTCTCAAGATCTGCCTAAGCTCAAACTCCCCTCTAGCCTTGCAAATGGGAGGGAGCCCCGGGCTCGAGGATCTTATGAGCTCAGTGCTCTCTCCCGGGACAGCATGCCAAACAAACTTTATAATCAACCATCAGCTGAGTGTGAACTTTTGAAATTAACATTTTATTTTCAAGCACAAATTAATCTCCAATGTAGATACTAAACCATTGGAATTAAATACTGTCGCCATTTTTTAAAAATGTTTTTGCAAGAACTTTAGGATTAATAGGATTTTTTTGTTCTTATGTTTATTTCTATGCAATTAACATCTTAATTTAACTGCCAAATCCACATTGTCAATGATAAGCTTGCTGATTTTGGTCAATTAAAACTTTTTTCAGTTAAGAGTTGATCATAGAGTAGTAATCTCAAAGGTTTCAATGAGCCTTGCTGAATATACAAAGAGGCTGTAGTTCAGAAACCTATGACCAAGAGGAAAGTAAGACAGCAGGTAATTAAATGTATGTGCATTATTAAAGCAAGAATATTCCATCACTCAATTATTTACAGTCTGTCAGATTTACATAACAAGGGCTTTTCCTCGCATGCTCATGACTAAGCAGGTATTCGTTGCGATGAAATGTCATCAACCTCTTCTTTAATATGTCCTCCCTCATTATTTATGCAAGGAATTTTTTTTTATTCCAAAAACATTAAAATGTAATTACCTTAAAAGTAGGATGTAAGATACGAAGGTCATGCAGAGATGGTGACGTGTGTCCTTCTGTGGCGCGGTGGGGGGGGGGGCATTTCCTGATGCTTTTAAAATGAGACACGTCGAAACTTATTATGCTCAGAAAACCACAGCCTGTCCGGGTTCATTCCGCCCACTCTCTCCAAATAGGGAAAAAGGACGGAGACCTGTCAAACAACACCAGAGACAGCTGTAAGACAGTCAAGCATTCTGACAATGACCAAAACATGAGCACAAATGTGGCATATGCACCTCCTTATAACCATTTTTTAGTTTCTATATGACCTCCATATCAAATTATTGCTCTTTAGGAGACAAAACTGAGGCGTTACTTTCTTCAAGGTAGACTTAGTTTATTAAACCTTGTGGATTGTTCAAACTGACATCTCTTTCGTTATGTTGGGGGCTGTTTTTGCCCCATTGACATACATTATAGCAACCTTTTTTTGATTGCAAAGCCTTGACGCCATTTAATTATGCTGTCTTGATTTTTGGTGTTTTTTTTCTGTTAGATATTTTTACAGCTGATCATCTGTTGGAGTATTAACCCTTTATGTGTGCATAAATACACTTACTATGTTCTGAGAGCTGGGGTCTGTTCTTCGTACCTCGCTTAAATGATCTAAGATGATTTGGCAGATTAAAATGTCTGGATGAACCCTGCATGTGTCATGCAATGCAACGATTGGCTGACAGCACAGCAGCGTAATGACATCATCTGATTAATATTCAATTATGCATGTGAGCAAAATTACATCAAATTCATAGTAAACGGTTAGCTAAAAATGATACGCAATAACTTTCCACCTTTGTTGTGGGCTGCAGGCGTTACACTTTCATGTGTCAAGAGTATTTATCAATTTATTTAGTTTTACAGTTAGAGTGGATTTTCTTTATTATAGTAGTCATAGTATTGTAGTAGCCGGTTTCTTCATCGGTGTAAGAAATAACTGGATGTTTACAAAAGCATTTTGATATTGGTAAAGGTGTCTGCAACTTTTGTGAAGCATCAAATTAGAGGTCTGCATTCCCGCGGCTGTACTGCGGGACCTGATCAGATTTCTGCAACACGGGA